CAGACCGCAGGAAAAATATTGAAAATCCAAGTATACAGTTTTTTTTGTGAGAGTATACAAACTAAGTTTGAAGTTAATCGGATCAAAATTGTAGATTTTTTATACAAACGTTGGAGCTCGTTTTCCCCCCTTTGGAGCTCGAATTTTCCGAAACCCCTTCTTAGTGCTCACTTTCACTATAAGAGGGATCTTGTGTCCAAATTTCAACTTCCTAGCTCTTACCGTTTGGGCTGTGCGTTGATTGCCAATCAGTCAGTCAGTCAGTCAATCAGTCAGTCAGTCAGTCAGTCAGTCAGGACAAACTGTTTTATATATATAGAGATTGCTGGATTTTATTTAAATAAAGGCAACGTTCATGCAATGCTCAGACTGTTGTTGCTTCGTTTCATGAGAAATATGTTTATTCAAATAGAATTTTGTTAAGCATTCCCATGTCCTGAAATAGATTCTCACAATTCTCATCGATAACATGAAAGTTGCGTTGTTATAGCGACACGAAGAAACTTAGCCATATGCTTGACGTTATCCATAGAAAGTGGAAGGCAGCCTATCCGCTTGCTCCCCGAAATGTAGCTAATGAAGAGCACAACATATTATTTGGGCTTTAATAACAAGCTACGGCTTGCCTTTTCCTTCCTTTTCCTCTCCTGCCATTCTGAAATTGTGTGATATTTAGGTTTTAGGTCGCATGCATCCTTAAAAGCCTTAACTATTTTATTAGACATGAGTGGATTAAAATTTGTTACCTACTTCAAAACTTTTCAATTTGCTCCTAAAATTTAGTTCTTGACAACACTCACCTTTTGTGTGCGTTATGCAAATCAGGCCGATTCACACCTCTGAACACACCTTATACCTTATCTGTTGGCAGCCAAAATACGAGTTGTATTTTTTTCCATCTGCAGAAAAGTTTTGCTTATAACATTTGTGCCTGCCGTTGTCAACCAATTGTACGAACGTGTATATAGGTTGTAGCCATATTTAAATACCCGTTATGCCGGCTTGTCAAATTTCCATTTAAAGTTTTCGTTGAGTTGCATGCACAACTGGCCCCAATTCCAGCGCCTTTCCTCCGTTGCCTAAAGATAGACGTAAGCAAACTTTTTCATTTTCATCTCGTGAGGGGTGCTCTTCACGCACACACACACATACACACACTCATAGCGTGTAAATACATGTACATATACTATATACAAGTATAAACGAGTACGAATATGTTTCTGTGGTGCTGTCAGCTCGTTTAAATGTCTACGCAGCCTGTATTTTATGGAAGCGAAAGGACGGCGCAAAGAGACAGCCGTGCTGAATAAATAAAATAAGGCGAGTTTACATTTACGCAACTCTTTTGCATCTCTTTGACGCAACGCGTTTGCCGTGCTCCGCTGCTCGACAACTGGCCGTAGGCATAGCGATAGGTCCCGCCATCTTATTACATCAACACATACGGGCCCGTACATGTTTGAATGTTTGCGTTCACGCAGACTGCAGGCAGCAGTCTTGTACCAGACGTTGTTGTGTCTGGCACGTCAGCTACTTGTGTAAATTTTCGATTTCCGATCCCAGCTTAACATGCAGTTCTGCATTTAATTGAAAGGCATGGGCGTAGCCAGGATTTAATCTAGGGGGGGAGGCAAAATCTTTTGACCGTATTTTTTATTGTCAAATTGTTTCCAGTAGCGCAAAAGACATTAAAAATAGGGAACAACTAAATTCAAAATAATATGATAAAATAATGTGTATTTTTTCTTAAAGGTAATAGGAACGATGAACTGAGATACAAATTGGAGAACTTCAAGTTCTACATTTTACTATAATATTTACTTATTATATTTAACTAAAAATTTAAAATAGTAATCGCCTTTTATCAGTCGCAAACCGGTCTAACACGTTTTGATTAAATGTATCCTGATTTTGGAATACCCATTTCCGGTGTACGCTTAACAGACATAAGCCTGGTGGTTAAAAAAATGTTTAAAATGTAATAAAGAAATAATACAAAATGTATTACATACCGTTCAATCGAGCGTTCATAGCGTTCATAGTTGAGCGTAGCCCTGTCTTTACTCTTATTCAAGTACTGAAATATCTTTCTATTGTTGCTGTCGTACAAGGCAGGGACATAGGAATACTCAGAGCGGTTTTAATACTAGGAAAAAACAGTTCAGTTTCTTGTCACACTCCGCAAAGCTCTAGTTCTTTCCACAACTTGTACCATAGCTCGGCCTCTTGGTCAAACTCAACCAAATTATAAAACAGTCTGCTTTCAAATTAAACTCTTCAACATTAAGCTTAATCATATTTTCAGGATGGAGCAAAGGTAATGAGAACGCAGGATTTTTTTCATCACAGATTATATTTTTTAAAGCTGTGCAAAGCGAGTCAACATATTTTCTATTTTTTTTATCAGCATTTTTGCGATGTTCCAAAACAAGATCTGTTATAGTTTTTATATGTTCCGCACACTGCAATAAGTCCAAACTTTTGGCTTGTAACACATTTGCAACCGGCGCCATCAGAGATGAATATTCAGCTATAATCACCAAGCATATTATAACAATCGGCTTCATTGCAGCGGAATGGAGCTGGAATGCAGACTTTTGAGTTACAGAGTTACCTTCTATAGAAAGTTTTCCAAGCCGTTTACGAAACTTATAAAGTTTTCTTTAAAAAGAGCATAGTTTCTTCTTATGCGTGATTCTCGGAAAAAATGTATTATATCTTTAATTGTAGATACAGTGTTGCGTATCTCTGGTATTGCGCTTAAATCATTAATAACTAAAATGAGCCTATGACTGGCGCAATGAAAATAAAAAGCTTTTTTATAAGTTACTTTTAAAAGCGTTTGTACACCTACAATTTTACCTGCCATAGTGGAACATCCATCATAGCCCTAACAAACAAATTTTAACTGTTCCAGTCCTTCTTTTTTTATAAATTCATCAATTACTGATGCTATTGCTTTCGCATCCATCGCATGCAGCTCATAAAACCCGACAAATTCTTCGCGTATAGCTACTTCATTTATATCAAAGAACCGAATCCCAATGGATAGTTGTATCGGTTGTTATCTTACGTTTTTTATTTTTATCACTTCCCGTGTCTATTAAACAAAGTTATGCCAATTAATACCTTTATATATATACCATATACGTATATATATGATATGCTTACCGCTAAAAAGTTTTCCGATGTCCATGACTTGCAATTCTTCAACTTCTTCACAACAACAGCTGATAAAATTTAAGTTTTATTTCGTGATTTTTATAAACACAACACATTTAATTGTTATTTATTTAATGATTGTTTTACAGCTGCAGAAATTAATTTTTAACCAAGCACTTGTGTGTTCTCAATCTAGAATAGCTTAAACCAAACTGCCCGCTTTGCTCCCCCTCGCTACGGCCATGTTGAAAGGGATTGAGAATAAGTCTGAAATCGTTCACAAATGCAGCAGAATAACTTCAGAATTAATACATTTATGATAATTTGTATTTAAGCAAACTTTTATCGCATTTTCAGACCATTCACTAAAATGTGTATACGCGGAGGAAGATCGCCTGCACAATGTACAAGGGTAGAGATCACCAACTCACTTAATTTCTCCTGCAACTCTGGAGAAAGAAATGCGGACTCTTAACAGGCCTCTTTACAGGTCATTGCTTACTAGCTGCCCATGCTATGCTGAATATTAAAACAGACAACAGATGCAGGAAACGCTCTTCCAACTGATCTCCCTCATCCGGCAATACTGAGGACCAACTAGGTCTATGTGGGACTGCCAACGGTGGCCCACCAGCACAATCAAATCTAATCTATAACTGATAATGCCAGATCACTATATCATATAGCTGTCATAGATACGATTTGATTGAAAAATATTTTTTTTATCGAAAACTTATTTATTTCTTGTTTTACATTTTTCTTACCTGATATCTTTGCAACACTGTCGCGAATGGGATCCGTGGATGATCAAATGTCAAATAAGTTAACAACACTTTCAAATTGCGGAAAAAAGTAGGTCCTTTTTTACTGCACATGGAGGAACAAGGGCGTCGGCATGGAGGGGGCGTTGACCCCCCTACAACAATTTTTGCCATATAACGTCGACAACACGTTCATTATTATGACGCAATGCATGCAGCGTTTGTCACACGAAGAAGATGGCAAACGCATAATGCAAAACTAACCACGCATAGTTAGTCTTCAATAAACTTCTCACTGGTACATACGTGTTGCGTTCATTATTATTTGGCCGGGTTTCCGTGACGAACCCCTCTCTCATTTCAATAGAGGAATATAGTAATGTTTTGTTGTAAGAGGTAGTGAAGAGTAGGGAAGCCTACCTCGTTGTTATGTCTTAATTGAAGCTATTTTCAAAACGACAGTTTGTCGATATTAAATAAAATTCCAATTTGAGGAATGTTTTGCAACTCAGTAAAGGTTTTCTTACGTCCATGAACAGATGGACAGTATTTGAATTAAACAACTGACAATGAAAATCTGATATTGTATGTGTATTAAAAGCCATTCTACCTACAAATCTGAACCCGTGGATTCTTATTAGAAGAGAAGAACTATTCACATTTTTATGTTGTCTTGTCGCTGAGAAAGCTGCTGACTAAACCGGTCAAAAATTATATTCATGGGCCACAGCAGAGAAATAAATGCCAAGTTCCTTTTTTTTTGTAGACAAATTGTTATTGACATCGATCTTTCTTTATATTCGCCACCTTTGCAAGTAAGTCCGATTGTGTTAAAAATTACATTTATATTTTAATATATATTTATATATATATATACTTTATTTATAGTTTTCGAAAAATTTTACAAAATAATCAAATATACATACACATACGTTTCTAGTCACATATACATTCAATACATAAAATGTTCATTAGAGATTTTTTTTTGTTTTTTTTCGGCTTAGCTGCTGTTTTAAACTAAATTGGGAATTGTACACAAATTGTATATAAGTTTTTGAGTTTTTTTCGGTTGTTAATATTAACTAAACACATAACTAAATGTTTAATTACACATGTATATCTGCATTTCTACAATATGTTTATATATTGTATTTATATAGTAGATGCTAATTTCGCTAAATTATCGTTAATGGAGCGGGCCCAGCAAGCCCTAACAAGAGGAATCGAAATGATTTTTTGTTGTTGTATTTAAATGTTAAAAGCATAACATTGCTGTCGCTTGTTGTTGATGGTGCTTTTGTTGCTGTTGGCCTTTTGTGCCAATGTCATGTATGTATAATAATTTTTGTAGCAATACACACTTATTACATACAAGTACATATTTATGTTTCACTAATTTAATTTAATTTAATTAAACTCACCCTTTGCTCTGCTGCCCGCCCACCATCCTCTGGCAATAATTACACATATAATCGTAATTATATTCAAATTGTGTTTCTCAATTGGTTGTTTTGTTTTGTTGTTGTCTCTTTTTCATTTCAAACCCCTTTTTAATTAGATCCTCTAAAAGCTATATGCATGTATGTATGTACTTATATTGTGTATTTATTTTGAAATCATTTTGAAAATTGTTCATATATTTTATTCCCATACAGTTATGCTTGCCATGCGAATTTTTCATTTTTTTTTTTCAATTAATTTATTTGAGATTTAATGCGCTTGGATTTGCGCTTAAATTGTTTGTTTGTTTGTTTTAGCTAGTGTTTGTTTATTTAAATGTATTTAAGTTTCGCTTGGCTTCATCAGTTAGCTAAAAACAATAGTACAGGGTGCCTCAAACTGATTTAGATGCGGCTGCTTGCCAAAACGCATTTGTAGAAAACTGTGCTTATGTCTTTAGCGACCCATTAACCGATCTTATTATAGGTAGGCTTAAAAATCTTGAAGTGCAATGTATTTACAAAGGAAACAATCGTGGCCACACCCTGACTAATCATACATTAAAATTAAGTGCCATGTACCATCGTTCGTTCCACCCATTCAGTTGCCGATTGTTTTCAATGCAGGCTGTTGAAAACTGACTAATGGATTCGCACGCCCCTTTCACTTATTTACACTTGCTCCTTAGTTGTAATTCAAAATGCGTATGGAAGTTATTAAATGTGTGTGTCTGTGTGTGAGTGTGTGTTAATTTACATATGCAAATCAAAGCTGGCCGCAATAATTGTATATTCATTTCGCTTTATTTCTATGCTGTTAATTATGCTACTTATAATTCGTACATACAGACACATACATACACGTACATATATGTATATTTATATGTATATGTAAAAAATCGCATAAGCTAGAAAAATGTGGCTTGCTTTAAGCTTCCAAATACTTGTTGTTCTGTTTTTCTTGTTGTTGTTGTTGTTGCCTCTTTTTGAAAATGACACAAATTGGTTTTTGTTTCTGTTCTATGTATGCTTATTTTTCGGTTTGTTTCTGTTTTTGTTTTTGCTCTTAAGTATTGGACTAAAATATTTTGAATAAAACTGTTTGATGTTTCGTTTTCGTTTTTGTTTTAAATGTAAATTATATTAGCTACTGGCATAATACTACAATTAACATATGCACTCGGACATACACGTACACTGAAGCATTTTCCATTATTTATTTATTTAATTATTTATCGATTACTTGGCTAGGTTTCCATTTTCTTTCATTCCTCAAATCTTTTATACTCGTAGTTCGCAAATGTTTTTCTTTGGTGCATTTTATCCTAAAAGTACGAGTACTCGTATGCAGTAAAATCTATTTACACTTGAGTTTGAGTGCTGAAATGTATGTTTGTTCGTACGTACGTATGTATGTTTGTATGTATGTATGTATATAAATGGGTCCTAGTTGAACAATTTAATTTGCTCGTACATTGATTGTTACATAAATGGTTCCGTTTTCTTTATCATTTCTGGGCTCGATAATGTTGGCGTTTAATGTTTGTGGGGGGAATTGGTGGTGGATTTGAATTGGTTTTGGTGTTTTAGAAATTTGAGAATGAAGTTAAATGTATTATTTAATAAGAAAGTCGCTATTTCGTTTTCCTTTTATAATTTACACACACAGTTTACTGTCTTAAGCTAAGTTTACGACTAGAGTTGTCCTTGCTGCGCTCCTCGACGGCATACTTACTTGTTTGAAAAACAAAAGTCTAATAAAAACACGATGCGCTTTTAATGCTATTGGCGGTGATATTCGTAACTTACAGCCGGCAAGTGAGCTTAAATCTTAGGACTTAAGTCATGGTTAGGCTAAGTGCGAGCGTAACGGTACTTAATGCTATGAGGCTCAGTTGCTGCTTGTTCTTGGCGCCCCCGCCATAAAAGGTGACGCTCAAATCACGCATCTCGTTATCTGGGCGGAGAAATATAGAGAAAGAGAGACGAAGAAAGATTAAGATTCGTTTTGATGCAATTCTTTTCTCATAGACCACAAATAGTACGCAATGTTGATAAATTTGAATAAATATGGTATGTGTAGATGCGTTGTGGGTCGTTAGACATATAGTATGTATAGAGTATACGTATTGATGGCATATGGTATATCAATATTCATTTAGCTGGAGCGTCAAACCAGCCATAAAACAAATTGCTTGGTCATGCAAGTTGAACAGATTGAAATCCAGCTGCCGGCTATTAAAACACATACAGATAGAGCCACACAAAGCACACATATAGTACACAATATAAATATAGTGTATGTGTGTCTGTTTGGAGAGGCAGACCGAACGAGCTGCATTCGAATGCAGTGCAGCGGCTAAGCAGACTACGCGTGTTGTCCTTTTAAAACGGTGTTGCTGTTTTTATTGATCGAACAGCAACAGCAACAGCAATAGCAACAGAAACGAAATAAAAATAAATTCGCAAAATGCTATGCAAAACTGTTGGTAAACTCACACACGCACACGCACACACACACACACACACACACACACACACACACATGTGTTGAGACAACACACAACATATCGCAGCAAATTCACATTTATTTTTATTTCTTTTGCGCAAATTGTGAGCTAAGCACAAATATCGAGTTTTATGTAGGTACGAGTACAATGCACGAGTATAAAAAGTAGATGACATGCAAAATGGGAAAGAGAAATAAACATGCAGAGCAGAGAGAAGTGAAGAAGAAAGCTACGGTCAGACAGGCAAATTCTTTGCAACCTTATTCATTTCGTTTACAAAGCAACCATAAACTTTAGCTACAGAAAATATTTGCATATTTGTAGAATTGTAAATATATGCATGCAATTATTCGGCTGTCTGATCTTAGCTTAAGAGAGCAGTAGAGAAAGAGCGGTAGAGAAAGAATAAAAGAGATAAAGAGAGAGAGAGAGAGAGAGAGGGAGAAGCACAAAACTAACCTGACAAACCATGATTTAAATATGTTGACAGATCGACATGTCCATCTGCAATTAACATAGGAGCATTTGTTGGAAATTTTGTTGAAAATATTGTGTGAAAATTTGGGAAAGATAGTTATGCAATAGTTTCTAGGGATATATGTGTATAGTATTTATTCTAGTGGTGCCGGTGACGGTGCCTGTGCTGAGATGTACTGAAAATTTAAAACGCTGCGTGTTGTTTCAAGCTTAAGCCTCGATAGTTGACATTTAAATCAAATTCGTTCGCGTAAATAAATCATTAACGCTTAAACTGCAATGCGCAATCAGAGCAATTTACTTTGGCCGCTTCAATGAATGCTCCCCGCATGCTCACGGTCCAGGGGGCCAGTCAACCGGATGGGAGATCGGTCAAGGCAGGTCAGGCGGCAGGCGGCAGGCAGCATGCAGCTCATTTCATTTAAGCCGCCAATTAAAATGGCAAACGTGCGACATCTGTCAATAATGACAAATGTGCATTTCGCCGTTTCACATTGAATGCGTCATGGCAGGCATCATGGCGAGCATCATGGCGAGCATCAACGTGGAAGGCCGGCCGTCTGTCTGTCTACCCAAGTAAGCCGAGCGTAAGCAAAAGAAATGACAAAGTTGTGTGCGGCCTGCCTGATGAGGGGTGAGTGGTCTGCTCAAATATAGTTAAATGGCCAGGCAGGTGCGCGCTCGATCTTGCAGATAGTCAAGGCAACGTCGTGGGTCTATTTTTCCTTTTTTTTTTTTTTTAATGAAACGCCAAGGTGTCTGACGCTTCAATGGCCATCAAGCTATCCTACTGTCCATCTGCCAATCTGTTCGTGTGCCTGTCCGCCTGCCTGCCTGCCAGTGTGTTTATTGCAAAACTCTTACATACAACATGGCAGCTGTCGATGAAACGTCACTGGCTGCTGTTGCTCTCCAACGTATACATTTTTTATGCCGCCCTGCGCCATCAAACTCACAACCACACAGCCAAACAAACACACTCATTGTGTGTCTAGCGCAAGTTCGACATTATCTAATACACACAAATCTCATGCACGAGCTTGCTGTTGCTGCTCCGCGCTCCAAGCAGCAGAAGTGGAACCTGAAGTGGAAGCCGAAGTAGCAGCAACATCCGCTTCTGCTCGCCTGCAGCGGCAGCTACAGTGGAAACTATTTAAAGAAGAGCGTGACAAAGAATGCGTTTTAAAAGCAAGATAGCTTTTACCAATGTGGGAGTTTTATCTCAATATGTACATATATGTAAATCAAACATCTACTCGATTTTTACAAGAAAGGATAGTTTGGCCTGTAATATTAATTAGAGAATATAATTTTCTTTTGCATTTAATAAGTCAAATTTTACTAGAAATATATCGGAAAGTGGCAACTATATTTGAGAAATCTAAAACTTGTCGGAATAACACTTTTTTGGGCCATCCTCAGTTCTCTTGCTAATGATTGAACATCATTATTTAAACTGATTTAATGTACTTAGATCTGAAAGATATTTTCTCTTTATCCTGTGAGTTAAATGAGGGAACCAAATAAAATAAAAACTAGTATACCCTTTTATCCTTTGGGTACAGGGTATAATGATATAATAAGAGCAACAAAAATGTTGATATTTTTTGTGGGCTGCGGAGTGGGCTTTAGATTAGTCTCAACATGACAGATTGACATTTAAAATGTTGAAAAATTAGCTGATTATTATCAGATTCCAATTGGAGTTACCCTCATTGGTAAATAGTAGAGATAAATATGTATGTAACTCAAATGATAATTTATGTAGCTATCAGTCGCATTTAATCGAACACTTTTCTAAAATTAAAAACAATGTTATAATCGCATCAGAAATATAAAACAAACGCGTTTTTGGTATTATTTAATTAATTTGTGGGCTGATGTGTACACACTAATTGAATGCGTCTTAAGCAGCTGATGCTCAAACATGAATTTACTGTGAATGGCAACATTGTACAACAGAAAAACTGTCAGAGGAGTATGAGGTTTTAGACATTGCAATAGGTTAGCTTGAGTTGGCCTCCATATGTATCTTACATACGCTGACTTTACTTTTATTATTTTCATTGCTTATCAACAATGCTACCATAAAACTATGAAATGAAATGAAACGGAAATAGTTTTAATCATGGAATTGTAATAACTTTCAATTTGAAATCATTGCTATATGTGAATCGCTCTAGTCAGGTGCCACTGCATTGGGAAAGAAAAACGGTCGCCGTGTGCTCGACTACATTTTGGACAGCAGCATCAGGCAATGACATCTTAGTTTGCCGCCACCCGCTGGCACTTGCCGTTCTCATTTTACTTTGCCGCACATGTTCAAGTCATCGCTGACACTTTTAATAGACATGAATGTGAGCGGTCGTCGGACATGTTGCAAGTTGCGTGGGCAGCGGCAGTGGCAGCAGGCAGGGGGCAGGAGGGTGTGGCAACCGCATGTGTGACAGCTTATCTATTGAGGCATCTGTGTTGCTGTTACCAAACATGACAGGTTTAAATTAAAAATTCCGTTACTCAACACTCGATCAACTGCATCTTTCAATTTATTTAAGAGGCCATGTCTAAAGTCGCCGTAGAAAAATGAGCGTCCAAGCATTACCATATAAATTCTCCAACTGTCAACATAAAATAAAAGCAAATTGCCAGTTGCGGCGCCACCGAATGTCCAAACAAAAACACGCTCACGCACACCCGCCTAATGGCAACAACATCGCGACAATGTCAACGATTTTGTAATGAAAATAGACATGCATATAGACAGGCGCATGGATATGGACATGGACATGGACGGGACATGGCGCGACTATGCAGCGGCTAATGTTGCCAATGGTCGTCACCACCACCGCGGTCGCTAACGCATCGGTTGTCGTTGTGTCTTTTATTGCTTGCGGTTTGTGGCACAAAACCAAAACGTCACTTCTGATTTCTCGTTTGCGCCGCTAAATAAGCAAACGGTTGTAGCCGGCAGAGCTGGCACTAAAAACGAGTGTGTGTGTGTGTGTTTGTGTGTGGATAGTGGGTGAGTGGGTGGTTGCAGTGCACGTAGCTTTCAGCACCTGCCTCGCGTTGATGCTAGACAGGCAGCAAAACACGCTTTCACATAATAGCATTGCGGTGCCGTGCGACAAATGCGAATGCGCAAGTAACCAAAGCAAACAATCAAATATACCTGTATACCTACATATAGCCATGCACATACTACATATGTACATACATATACACCGACGATCAACTGAATGTGTGCAACAAATCCTGTTGAGGGGAGAAGCCAATACGTATTTTCTTTTCAAATAGCAGTGGATTTATTCATCTTCGAAATGACCATCGCTAGCTCTCAAAAATATGCAACGATTTTTATTCACTAGTTCGACAAAGCGCCTTTTCTGTATATATTCAGGAAATCTGTGGATTTCAGTCATTTGATTCGGTTTGTCGAAGACCGAAATATAAATCGATGTGATGTCAAGAAATACACAGTCTTACAGAATTTTAAAAATTCAAGGCCCAAAAATTAAACCTATATTACAATAAGTTTTTTTTTGGAATTATCGTATTTGTTGGTCATTCTCTAAAAAGCATATTCCCCAAATGAAGTGTTAATTAGTTTTTGAGATCAGAGATGAGTTATGGAGAATGAACCCTCCTGAAAATACCCTCCTCATGTGCCTGGAAATCGGTGCTAAGCCGTTGAACTTATATTTCGAATATTATATGACCTTGGCGTGTAATGTTTCTACCTTCTTTTAGAAGGAAGCAAGAAATATAATATTTTTATTCTAAAGCACAATGAAGGGTATATAACTTCGACGCAAGCGAAGATATTTTCTTAACGCGTTAAAATTCATTTTATCTTCTTTCTGCATGTATAGTGAGCACTGTTTAGGGAATTGGTCAGAATTGGTATACTATATATACCTATATAAGGAGATTAGTAGCTTTGCCTGTGTGTGTGTGTGTGTGTGTGTGTATGTGTGTATGTGTGTGCGTCTGCCTAGTTGCATCAGCGCAATCCGATTTTTAGCGCAAATTGTTCAAGCATTTTTGTTCTCTTTTATCTTTTCTCCAGTTTGTTATTCCTGGTCGTTACTGCCATTTGCATTCACGGCTTTGGCTTCAACTTTAGCTCCAAACGAGTTGCGACGCGCGGAAAATTTGCGCTTTGCTGCCGGCAAAAGTAGCAACAGCGACAGCAGCAAAAACCAACAACAACAATATTAACAACAAGCACGTCAGAGTCCTGACAGGGAGTAGTTATGTGTTTGTGTGTGTGTGTGTATGTTCACCCTTCGGATGTCCGCATGGATCGACTAACGCGATGGCGGCGGCTCAGCGCGTATTTGAAGTTTTTCGCTACGTTTGGGTAACAAATTTTCAACGGGTCGGCCGTGCGGCGCACGTATCACTCAACTGTCGAAAAATGGACAACGCAACTTCTGGCGTTGTTGTTGTTGTTGTTTCTATTGTGCTGCCACTGAATGTTGAACGCTGCATGCGGCGTAGATTTTTCTATAGTAAATACGGATTTCGCATACATTGTTGCGTATTGTAGGCTCGCTGTTGCCCTTGTTGCATGTGTGCGTGCGTGTGTGTGTGTGTGTGTGTGTGTGCGAATGTTGTTTGTGCATCCTAAACAAACATAAATTTGTTAGCTTGAGGTCGTGGTTTTGGACGCGTTCGGTTAAAGCGGCTTAAAGGGCGCGGTCGTGCTGTAAGCTGACAAATGAAATAATAAAAAAATATATACTAGTAGTAGCTATCCATGTAGGTTTTTGAATGTTTTTTCGAGTAGTTCCAGTTGCCAGTTGTGAGGAGAGGGAGGACAAAGCAGCAGCCAGTCGTCGCTGTGTCAATTGTGGTTCACCCTGGCCCGCACTTTGTACATAAACATAATATTCACGTTGCGAATTCATGTTACAAGTCTGGAGAGTGCGCACCGTGCTATTTTTGCGATTGCTTATTATGCCACAGCCACTAGAAAACTTGAGGAGGTCGGTTCCCATATACTTGTGTATAGTATTGCTGCA